GAATCTGGCAACCTCCGCTGTTAGTTTGCTGCCACAGTCCTTTCCAAGCTTCATCAAGTACGAACGAATCCCGGGAGACGCTCCAAGCCATATGAACATTCCTGAGTTGGGCCTACTCAATCCAGCCAATGCCTACGAGAACAAACGTCAGCTTTCCGTTGCTGGAGACATCCTCCAGAACTCATTTGATCGTTTGAATGGCATCGTCACTGGGAGCGCTGCCAGTGGAATGCGGCCACTATTTGCCCCTGTTTCTGCCGCACCTGCTTCTGCCGCACCTGCTTCTGCCGCACCTGCTTCTGCCGCACCTGCTTCTGCCGCACCTGCTTCTACCGGTGGATTATTCGGAACTGGCTCGTCCAGCCCGGCTTCTGCTTCTGCTCCCGCCGGCCCGATCCAGGCCTTCCTGGGTAATGCGGGTGGTGGGCCTTTCGCTGGCACGTTCGGAGGCGCCTTGGATAAACTGTTTAACAGTCCTTTGCAGCAGACAGCAGAAGGAGGCAGCCAAAATATAGGCCAGGGCCAAGGGATACTGGAGCCGGTCTTTTCCATGGCCAGTGGTTCCGGTGCTGGAGGCATTGTTAGAGGAATCCTTGATCGCGCTACCAGACAATCGACCTAGGGCCCCCCGGACTGAACATTAGGTAGACTGGTTTATTTTAACACTAAGTAGATGGCGTTACAACACTTTCTCGACAGCTAGCAAAATCGAAATGTACAGCACAGCTATACGAGGACGCCAACGGGTTGCAAGCGATCCCTCTGCGCTGACGTCACAAGATGTGACTGGGTTTTGAAGTACTGAGATCGGAATGCGGCCGATACTATCACCCTATCCATCTCTGGTGATGCGCCGGTATTGTCCAAACTTGCGCATTTTACAAACACGCGCGCGCGCACTCGATCTCGGCCGAAAACAGCAACAAGTGTCTGAACAAATATGAGGAGCCTAAACTTGCTCACCCTGCTCGGCATGGCAAGTGTCTCTGCGAACAAAGGGCCGGTAGGCATCAGTGACATGGTTCCCGGTGCCCGGCGTCTCAGAAGCGCGACTTTCACGATATTCGCAACTTTGTTGGGCATACCTGACAGATCCAAACAATGTTCCACCCGAAGATTCCGACGAAATGCGTAACAAGGAAAAGCAGAACGGATCTATTGACCCCAATTTAGATCCCCACTCAGATAATCAAAGCTCCGATATGGGAGGTGGCAAAGGTAAGGACGGAGAGGAGGAGGAGGATGGCGAGTTTGAACTCCCGGCCGGCTCTTTACTCCCGCCCTTCGTTCCGGACATTCCTATCGCTGGTCCACTCAACCCAGCCACTTGGTCACAGGAGCAGATCAACGCCATACTGAATCCCCAGCTGCTGAACGTGATGAA